AGTCTTTGCACATGTGTAATAAAACTGTTGTTTTCCACCTTTTCATTTTTTTTGGTAATCTGCTCTAAAAAAAAAGTGAATGGTTGACTTTGCAATGATTGAACAGACCTCCTGACCTTTTCTGAAGTTGGGAGAGCGGTAAACAAATCTCTCTCAACAGTGACCTGCAGTAAACTGATCTGTTAATTTTCTAACCCCAAATCCGCACAATGTGCAGTTTTTACCAACGAGCGAGAAAGACTGTCAACGTTTAAAGGAGAACTATGAGGTAAGTGCTTTTCACTCACCTCATAGTTCTAGCCGACCTGTGACAATGAGACTGTCACAGGTCGCTCACCTCTCGATCCTGTCACGGCAGAGGGGAGGGGCTGGATTCCCCCCTCCCTGCTCCGATCCTCCAGCGCTGACTGGCGGAACAGACAGGGGAGGGGGCGGGGGCAGCTGGCTCTGCCTCTAGATAGGCAGAGCCAGCTTTTAGTCACGCCGCTGGGCGGATCCCAGCACAACTGTGTGCCTTAGCTGTTCTTATGATGGTCCCTACCCTGTATGCTCCTTGAGGCCGTAGAGCGGGGGGGAGCAGTTGGTTGCTGCTGATAGAGCTTTCGGGGTGGGCCTCGTTCTTGCGGTAGTAGAGTTGTGGAACAAGACAGAGAGCCGTGCCTGTCAGCATGCCTATAGTACATAGGGCGGTGGGGTATCTGTCAGCAGCTCTCTGTCCGGCCCTGCCCAGCTCACTGACGTCATTGGTTGCCAGGAGCTAGGCAGGATGCCAGCCACTCAGTCCCGCTCATCTCCCTGGTGGGACCGACAGAGCGCACGGAGCGTCGTAGGTTGCTTAGAGCTTTTAGCAGCCGGGGATGCTGTGGCCACCCCTCTGCCGCCCCCCTTATCGAGATGCCTCCTAAGGCGACTGACTAATGCTGACTCATTATAGGGACTGCCCTGGCTGTAGGGTTGTCACCTGTCTGGGATTCACCCGGACATTCTGGGTTTTGAATGCTGTGTCCGGGTTTCATGGCAGCTGAGACCCAGACACAAGATGTCAAGCAGACAGGGGCAAACAAAATTTAGATAGGGGCTACTGGACCCCCACTGAAAATATTCTTGACTGTGATATTTACATATGAATGGGTGGCAGTCGCGTCACAAGTGGGGTGCGGGGGGTGTGGGCCGCACCCGGGTGCTACCATTGGAGGGGGTTGGGTGGCAGTCGCGTCACAAGTGGGGTGCGGGGGGTGTGGGCCGCACCCGGGTGCTACCATTGGGAGGGGTGACACCCAAATGACTAACAGTCATTTTGGTGTCACCCCCCATGAAAAGTTGGGCACTTGGTCACGGACTGAGAGCCCGACAGTGTCAGGACAGAGGAGTTGACCCGGCGGCATACCTCATCCCACCGGGTGAACGTCCCCTCCT